TCCTGGAGAAGACCCACCATGGAGGTGGGAGGCCCAGAGGCCAAGAGCAGAGTGGGGGCCCCCCTGGGCACACGTGGAGCCGTGCAGGGTGGGATCCATCATTCTGCACCTCAGCATCTTCATGGTGCCACAGCATGGCCCCTCTCCTGTCCCCAGGGCTACTGGCCACCCCCGTTCCCCCCAGAATCCAGGCCCAGAGAATTGGCAGTGGTCCTGAGACTGCGCACAGCAGAACGGCCCAAGGAAGCGGAAGGGAGTGCAGATTCCCAGGCCCAGTTCAGTGGCCTGTGTTAGAGACTTTCACATGCGCTATTTCATCCACCCTTAAAACCCTGGAAGGCAAGTGCCTTTGTAACTTCCGTAAATGAGGAAACAACATATAAAGATCAGGCAATGTTCCCATGGCCTCACCGCAAGTGACTGAGTTTGGACTCAGACCTGGGCCTGCCCAGTGTATACTCTGCCTCTCACTCCCAGTGGCTGACAGGCGCATCATCCGACCAGGGTCTTTAAGGATGATAGCATAGGAAAACGTTCCTAAAAATCTACTTTGTTTTTATAAGCCTTTGTCTGGAGCATAGACAAAACATTTCGAGAGACGTCAAGAATTTCTGCAAACCAAATGAACGTCCTAAGAACCAATCCCAGAGGACACCGGCTGCGCAGCCGTTCTCGGGTTTTGTCTCCATGCCCCAAGTGTTCAGCCTTTGCAAGACAATGTGCATGTTCTCTTTTGCAAAGCAAACAGCTCTGCACGATGTGGGCCTCCTAGCTTGAGAGAACTTGAACAGCACTCATGACCAAATAAAAGGTTGAGCAAACTTCCTTCTGAACTCAGTGCTAATGGCCAAGGACTGGGCCACACCAACCAGGGGCGAGACCTCCGGTCTCATGAGTAAGCTTGCAAAGGGGGCGACCGTCCTCACACAGTCGCCTCACAATGTGGTATCCCCGCTGACCACTGCAGAGCTGGGGACGCCTTCCTTCAAGCATCACAAGCAAACGCAATCACTTTCCGGGTGGCTGCAGTAGCTGAGGTCAGTCCTTGCACTTGGATGGGACAGGATGGTGGAGAGTTCCTGGAAGCCACAGGAACTCTGGGTTCCCATGCAGAGCCACGCCGACCTCCTGGATTTAATATCAAAACCCAGAGCCTGAGAAGAGTCTCCTGATGTAAGTTTCAGGCTGCAGAGTGGAATGTGAAAGCAAACCAGAGACTGTCCTGGGATCGCTGGCAGCATCAAGAGGCACAGAAGCTCCCAGCTGGAGACTGAGGACATCCTCCCACACCCCACAGAGAGTGGAGCCTCTGAAACAGTCCCACAGGAGTCACCCAGTGGAGCTCTGCTGCAGTGTGCTAGGCCATGCAGTCCTGACTGTGGCCGAGGCCGGTCCTGGGTTCCACCTGAGCTCAGCCAGGTCCATCTCACCTGCCTGAACAAGTGGGCAGCTAGTGGCTCACACACCTAGAAAGTTCCTAGGTCTAGTCCACTGAGACGGAGCCTGGCACAAGTTAGGAAAAAGACACTTATTACCCACAGAAAGGCAGCAAGTATGAACAGAACCCTAGGATCGGGGTGAGCCAGTCCCTCAGGGCTCAGGAAAGCTGCCTGGGGTGGGTGGAGGCTTGTCTGCTCGTGCCCCGCATTGCACTGCAGAGGGACCCCGAAAGCACCTGCCCTGGGAGTTACACACTAGGTGCCACTGGGATTGCTGAGGGCAAGTGTTGCAGAATATCCTGTTCTGGGAGGAATGAGGACACAGCCTGCATCGTTCCAGACACCTCTTCTCTCAGGATATTGCAGTCTGGGTACATTCTGCCTGAGAGCTGCAGCAAGCATGGGAAGAGCTGGGTGGCCAAGGCCATTGGGGGCCTGTCCCCTACAGCCACGGCCCCTGGTGTCTGACCCCTATGGCTGTGCCCCTGCCACCTCACAGGCTGGCTTTAGCCTCAGGCTCAATCTGGCTCTATGGACAAAGCAGCACAAGGCTCCTTAGCGGCCATGATGACGTCCAGCGGGACCACTTCTGTCCCAGCATCCTATCAGTGCCAAGACTCAACCCAATGGGACCATTGGGCCTGGCCTGTCACTGAGCCAGCAACAGGGGCAAAGGGAATGAACTGAGCCGAGGAGCTTACGCCAAGATGGGCCCAGCCCTGGACCTGGAGGTGGGCAGCTTCCTGAGGCTCAGAGGCTGCCTAAAATGGGAAGGAAGGCTGGACAGAACCGGGGTTCTGCTTAGGAGGAGGAAGGGCTCAGAAACTGGACAGAAAGCCCACAAGGGCCCCATGAGAGGAGGAAAACCACCTGACCTCCAGCGGGCCCGTGGCTGGGGTGCTCTTCTGATGAGGACCACTGTCCTGTGGGACACAGTCCACAGGAAAAGTCAGCGAAGTGTCTAAAATGCCATGTGAACCATGTGGGCAGAAAGGAGCCTTCCTGTGACTAGGGGACGGGATCTCGTGTTCATTGTCCTTGCACAGTGCTCAGTGGTTAGATGCTTGGTAAATACTGCTTGGACAGGCACTCTCCGCCAGTGGGCTAGAAGCAGCTTAAATCTTTCAGGGGGTGGGAGATACAAAACCTTAGCGGAAAAGTGATGAGAGCTTGGGCTGAGTTGTCAGAAGTGCATCAAAAGTGATAGTCCCCAAATGGCTGCTCCATGTCAATGACACATCCTGCAATGAAAAGGAGTACCTGCACCTCCAGTGCCACCAACTGCCTTAGCAACAGCAGTGACGAAGCCTTCAACCCCCAGGCAACAACGGCTCTCACAGACGGCGGTGGGTCACGGCTGATTTTTATCTTCTGCACACTCTTGGAGTTTTCTAAACGTTTTCCACTTGGGTGCACCCGAGTTGTGCCCCACACAGCTGCAAGAAGCTCTCTCCTCATTTACACCCAGGGTGAGAAGCATCTCTCGTTCTGCAGGCATCTCCCTCAGTGAGTCATGGAGTTTTCCAGCCGTTGGCACAGCCATGGACACACGGGTCTGTCTTTCAGTCTGTCTTTCCAGTACGTCTTCCACGTGGCATCATGCTGATGCAAACTGAAGGCACTTCCTTAAGGTCAGAAGCCATGCAATGGTGTCCACCATCACCAGTGTGGAAGATTGTTCTGGCAGGGCCGGCAGATGTCATTAGACAGGAAATTTAAATGGCTTGTACAAGTTTTGGAAAGGTAAGGGCATACCCATCACTACTTGTCAATGATGCAGGAAAACACCCAAAGAGAATCAGTGTAAGACTATAATAATTAAATAAGGTTTTAATAAGGTGACCAGTAACAAAATAAATATATAAAAATCAGATAACATTCTATTAAAAACAATTTGAAGATCTCAGATGAGAAGACTACTTACTATAAAGATATACATTCTCCTGATGTTAATCTATAAGTTAAATAAAATCTCCAAACAAATTCCAAAGAACTTTAATTTGGGATGGGAGAATGCCCAGACTAGATAAAACAATACCAGTTTATACACCTAAGAAATTTTTGAAAAAGACAGATGAGGTTTTATTTCTGCCAACAGATTAAAAGTATGAGAAACACAACGATGAAAACAATAGAAGCTGATATGAGAAGCGACAATAAAATGGGAAAATGCAGAAACAGATGCAGGCACATACTGATGCTGGCACTGGATACAAGGGCATCTCAGGCTGGTGCATTCTTCAGTGGCCTACCCACTGAAATGTCCATCTCACACCATCCCTCAAAATAAATTTCCAATCAATTAAACACTGAAATGTACTCAAAGAAAAATCAACGCAAGTGAAAATAATCTTGGTGTGGGAGACGACTTTCCGAACACGACCTCAAAGGCTGGGATACAGAAGATGCTTAGTTTTTTAATTTATATATTTTCCTGATTTAAAAATTTTAATGTAGCCATGTTAAGTCAAAAAGAGAAGATTTAACACAATTAAAAGGCAAACGACAAAGGAGGAGAAACAATTTACAAGGGATACGCCAAAGGTTTACTATTCTCAGTATGTAAGGATCCTTTACACATTGACGAGATGTTTTAAAAACTGGATGCTGAGCTGCCCCGTGGCTCACTGGGGAGAGTGTGGTGCTGGTAACACCAAGGCCATGGGTTCGGATCCCGATGTAGGGATGGCCGGTTTGCTCACTGGTGAGCGTGGTGCTGACAACACCAAGGGTTAAGATCCCCTTACCAGTCATCTTTTTAAAAAAAATTAAAAATAAAAATTGGAATAAAACTTATTAAAGAAAATATAGGAGAAACCCTTCAGCAAATAGGGCTGGGCACAGACTTCATGAATATGACCCCAAAAGCACGGGCAACCAAAGGAAAAATAAACAAATGGGACTATATCAAACTAAAAAGTTTCTGCACAGCAAAAGAAACAATTAACAGAGCTAAAAGACAGCCAACTTGTAACAACTACAAAAAAAGTATAGTTGTTATATCTTCTTCCCCTTGTAACAACTACAAAAAAAGTATAGTTGTTATATCTTCTTCCCCTTGTAACAACTACAAAAAAAGTATAGTTGTTATATCTTCTTCCCCTTGTAACAACTACAAAAAAAGTATAGTTGTTATATCTTCTTCCCCTTGTAACAACTACAAAAAAAGTATAGTTGTTATATCTTCTTCCCCTTGTAACAACTACAAAAAAAGTATAGTTGTTATATCTTCTTCCCCTTGTAACAACTACAAAAAAAGTATAGTTGTTATATCTTCTTCCCCTTGTAACAACTACAAAAAAAGTATAGTTGTTATATCTTCTTCCCCTTGTAACAACTACAAAAAAAGTATAGTTGTTATATCTTCTTCCCCGTTACAACAAACAAACGGAAAGGACATTCTTGGGGGGGAGGGGAGAGAGGGAGGAGGGCGGGAAGTGTCGGTGGTGGGCCATAATAATCATATACATTGTATATTGACAAAATAAAAAATTAAAAAAAAAAAATAAATAAATAAAGTCTTTGCCCAATCCTGCTTCCTGAAAAAAAAAAAATAAAAATAAAAATAAAAATTGGATGCTCCATCAGGCAAAGAACAAGAACAGGTGAGTGTCACAGCAGGACAAACAGACTGGAATACGTGAGAAGACACGTCCGTCCTCAGCGGGAGTGAAAAACCGCGATTCCACACGGGAGATGCTGATTTCCTTCTGTCAGAGGGTAACAGGCCGCGTAAAGCCACTGCTGGGAAGACCCTTGTAGAGGGCACGAAGCCTCCGCCTTCCTGGAGAGCGGCTGAGGAGGAGCAGGCTCACCGTCTATGAGCAGGGCGCCGTCCACCCGCCAGGCTCCACGTGTGTGCTCTCCTGAATTCACCCGTTTCAATGCTGACAACCACGGGATGAAGGAGATTCTCTTGTGTCCTTCCTATTTCATAACGAGGGAAGTCACAACACATCCGGTAAATGGTGCCATCAGATCCACCAGGAGCCTGCCCCAGACCCTGCACTCTCATCTGCCCCTTGTCCCTTTGCCTGCTCCACGACCTCCCACTCTGGCAATATGGTCCCTAAGTCCCACCGTGCAGAGTGTCTGTCCCAGCAAGCCCATTCCAGGAGCTGACCCGGCACACAGACGCTTGTGCAGAAATGACCACTGCAGAGTGGGTTAAAGCAGAAACTTCTACATCTCTGCCTCTCAGCAGGTTTGTTGATCTTGTACATTGATGTCGCTTGATATGGGAAATGGCTGAAACATGCCTTTAAGTGGGAAAAAATGTCCTCGAAGAGTGTGATCCCATTTTTAATGGAAAAACCACACCCACCCACACATACGCACAGAGGAAGAAAGGCTTGGGAGCGGTGTGGCTGACGCGGTACTGGTGGATGAGATGAAACTCTGCACAGGGGCGAAGGGACAGAGGCCCTCCAGGTGGGGCGGGGGCAGGGACAAGCATGGTCAGGGTCTGGCTCCAGGGCTGGATGGAGCCAACCCGACATAAGCCAAGGATTTCTGTGAATCTAATTGTTTTCCTGTGGCCCACAAGTGAATAAATATAACATACAATGCTTACTTCTGAGGGTGAGGCTGTAAGCGGTGTTTGTTTTCTTCTTTTCTATATTACCAAAATAGTACCTGACAACCATGCGTCACTTTTACAATCAGAAAGTGTTAGAAAGCAATGAGATTAAATTTTAAAATTTTATTCCAATTATTCAAGTTTTTGTTTTTTTTTAATAGATGACCGGTAAGGGGATCTTAACCCTCGACTTGGTGTTGTCAGCACCACGCTCAGCCAGTGAGCAAACCGGCCATCCCTATAGGGGATCCGAACCTGGGGCCCCGGTGTTATCAGCACCGCACACTTCCCAAGTGAGCCACGGGCCAGCCCCAATTATTCAAGTTTTTGTTTTTTTTTAATAGATGACCGGTAAGGGGATCTTAACCCTCGACTTCGTGTTGTCAGCACCACGCTCAGCCAGTGAGCAAACCGGCCATCCCTATAGGGGATCCGAACCTGGGGCCCCGGTGTTATCAGCACCACACACTTCCCAAGTGAGCCACGGGCCAGCCCCAATTATTCAAGTTTTTACTGCAGTGTTTTCAAATGTTTGTTAAAGTGGTCTTTACTTAAAACGTAGCTTCTATAATGTTGCCTCTACACCTTAACCTACTCCACTGCTGCGGGCGGCTAAGTCCCCACAGTCCCCTGGGGCAGGACCATGAGTGGGGTTGTGCCCCGCCATGCACAGCCATGGAACGCGGCCTGGGCCCTCTGCGGCTCACAGCTGTGCTTTCATGCTGACTCGCACGCGTGTCAGCCCCATGCTCCCAGGAAAGCATGCCAGCCCCATACTTCTTCAGGAACAAAGACACTTCTGATAGGTGGGTGTGAAAGTAGAGGGACCTCTGCAGCTACACATCGCCAATCATTCCTGAGTCAAAGAAGTTGGGCCTGTTGACGCCAACAGGAAGATGTGTTTATTTCTCTAGATGCGACATGCTCTTAAAATTGGACAACTTCTATGACCTGCTGGTGGGGGAACAGGAAGTATCAGATCACAGACTAGATGATAAGCCAAAGTGCCAAATGATAAAAAAGGCAAAACAAGACAGCCCTCTGGGATGCCCAGATGAGGCTCAGTCACTCGCGGGCTGGGGCCGAGGCTGCTCTGAGTGGTATGATGGGCAGAGTGTGCTGTGACCCCAACCAGGGCTGGACACCACCAAGAAACCAGCATCAGAGGACTCCAGAGTCAATTCCCATTGTGTAGAAAAGCTATGGATGGAGGTAAAGAAGCCCTGTCCACACAGACAGCCCCATCGGGACCTACGGGGGTCACCCGATAGAATCTGCATGACCCCCTGTGGCAGGGCCACTCGGGCCTATCCGCTCGGAGCAGAGGTCTGGGCCCTGGGGACCCCTGGGCCTCCGTGAGGCATGCGCCCCTCCCTCTGGCACTGGCAGGCACCTCTGGTCTACTAATTGGGTTTGCACTCAGGACCGCCCCATCTAACCTGCCAAGGGTCTGGAACATTTTCTTTTGTTCCTGTTCTCTCTGGAAGCAGGAAGAGCAGATCACAATGGCCAAAACATCCTTAAAAACACGAAGAGTTCATTTAAATCTAAGGAAGCTGCTGAACTAGAGATACTGAATTCAGGTGGAGGCTGCTCCTAGTTAAAGTGATAAAAGACCCTGGCAACTACCTGTGACCTCGACGTTGAGGGCTCATGGGTCCAGCTCGGACACTTCCTGGCTGCTGCCCATGGCAGCTCTTTAGCCTTTCTGGAGCAGTTTCATTGCCTGTGAAACAGGGCTGACAAGCCTCCTCACACAAGTGTCTGAGGGGACGAAATGACGAACAGAAAGCACCAAGCCCGGTGCCAGTGTGCTGTACCCCCACTTGCCCCTCAGATGCCGCCTGAGCACTGTGGCAGGGGGCAGGGGGAGGAAGGGGCCTGTCTCTTTTCTAGGCATGAAAACTGAGCCGTGAGAAGTTAACTAGCTTCCAGAGCTGGAAATTCAGTCTTCGAAAACAGATTCTTGACCATGCCCTCCAGGCACTCAGAAGCTCTCTGGGCTCTTTTGAAGAGGAAGAGCTGGTCCTCTTTGGTGCAGCACCACCCAAGGGAACCTGGGTCACATCGGTTGCACAGTGACAAAGGGCATCCAAGGTGACAGAGGGCACCGATGGCCACAGAGATGGGGAGGACACTGGGGCTCCCCACAGCCAATGACAAAGGCCCTGTGACCTCCTGGGTTGATGAGAGGTCAAGAAGCATAATTAGGAGCCAAGGCAAACCTGAAAACAGAGACCAACAGTGAGGATGAAGAACCAGCGAACCAAACCCCTCGGCCCGACGGCGGAAGCCCGGGCACCTGATGTGGACGCTCGTCACCATCCTCAGTGGCACCTGCGGCCACAGACCGGGTCAGCGCTGTGGGAATATGCCACAAGCAAGAAAGGGTCTGCTGAGCAAACACTCGGTGGGGACAAACAGCATGGAGCACTTTACCTACTTCAGGGACAAACTGATCACACCTAAGGTCATTTACGTGCAGCTGGGAGGTTGAAGACTAAATTGTCCAGACATTCAAATCATTATGTATTTTTTCTCTGGAAACATTTCCTGAATGGAAACTTTTAGTTCCACAAAAGAAAGTAATAAAATGAATTTTTTTTTCCCCTTAAAAATCTTAAACTATGTCATTCATACAGTCTATGGTGCAAATTAATAGGTTATAATTACATGGTAAAGTCAAACTAGAGTTAACAAAGAATCAGACTGACATCAGTAATTCCTCAGTGAAGCAGAGCTTTGTAAAAAATCTCATGTGAATTCAAAAGATCATGTGACAAGAAAATCCCTAATTATGAGCAGTCTGCTTTATGTTCAGTATCTGTATCTGAAAATAGAATGTGCAAATTCGAATTATCAGAAAGCCCACAGCCCACCAGGAAGCCATGACGGTGTAAGTTTTCTTTTCACTATGACTCCTGATGAGCCCAGCACGTGGTTACCCCTCCTGGCAGGCCCTCCTGGCCGCGACTATAGCTTCGACCTCAGGCGGCCCACGGCAGGCTTGTTGGCAGAGAACTCCGGCCACCATGATGGCCTGGCCAGCACGTTGCTGCCCTGCAGGACAGTGGTCCAGAGGTTTTTATAGAGCTGCAAAAACAAGTGCGTACATAAATGAGTGGCAAATGATAAAAAAAAAGACCCGTCAGAGGCAGAATGTGCAAAGGCAGCTTCTCATAAGATTTTGTTAAAAACACAGGAAATTCTCTGTCACTTTTCGGAAAAAGTTTCAAATAATTTAATTTATATAAACCTTTTATTTCTTAAGTAGAAAGCAATTAGGAAAATTCAATTATAAAGTACCATGAAATGCATTTATGATGAAGAACATCCCACTCGTCCTTTCCTTTGGAAACTACTGTAGAAAGTGGACATTCTGCTTCTTCACAACGTGGCCACCACGGAATGCTACAAGTCCACAGTTCCCATTTGCTCTGAGATCTGTCCTCCCGTGCCCCATGCGGCTGCTGGCTGGCATGGGCCAGATGTGGCTGAGCAGCAGGACGATGGCCTGTCGAGCACACTGTCCATGGCACACCAGCCCAGCACATGGTCTCTCTCTCCTCCAGCAGCCTCTTTCAGGACTTTCAAACCCAACTGCCCTCAGCCTACACTGCCTCACTGGAGACATGGGGAGGGCAGTTCATATCTCGGAGGAAGGTCTTGAGAATCACACGTGCCTGATAAATGACACTTCACCTGCTCAAGACCGAAGGGACAGAGCTGGGGCTGGGCATGGCTAGGCGAGACTCAGAATGAACCGGTCTGTCATGATGCAGGAAAATGGCCTACTTTGCCTCTGGCTGACATTGACCACTTTTACTTTTAAGAAACCATTCTGCCTGCACCTGCTAAATGCATTCACCAACTCCTTCAACACTCTGCTATTCTTGGCTCCCAAAGAGACGCTGCCTCAGGCTGCATGTCCACGGGTCACAAATCCCAGGTCTCTTTCACCATCTGGTACACTGCACCTCATTTAATGACAGTCTCTTCATTTAATGATGATCTCCTACGACTGTGTTCATTCATTTAAAGTAAACTTCCTACCTGGCAGCACCTGGTTAAAACACCAGTTCTTTAAACCTGGGATAAATACACATTTATAAACCATCCTGCCAGGTGGTGGTGCCTCTGGTTGGCTCTGGTTTTAACTGCAGAGCCCGAGCTGGAGGGCCCTCTCCATTGTGGAGATGAGCTTTCCTGCCTCCTTTAGAGCAGGGCGCAGCGCTCAGGCGCCCAAGCACACTCTGGTTCTTTCTGCATGGGACACACAGTCCCATGTGCTTGGGGGTCCTCTGTGGCAGGCCCTGCTTGTGCTCATCTCCTCCTTGTAAGCCGACTAAGCCCTCCACTGTGGGCAGGGCAAGCCCCTCTCCTCCACGTTCCCCCAGGACCTAAGGTCTCCTCGCTTATCTTCTCTCCCAGCCGCAGGGCACAGATTTCTACCCAAGTCCTGGTTCTGCTGCTTCCTGGATGGGCAACTCTGGGCGACCCACCAGGCTTCCCTGGATCTCAGCCGCTCCTCAGCAGAGTGGACGTGATACACACCCCGTGTGGGACTCAGGGGGTGTCTGGCTGTGAGCACAACAGCTAGAGTCCATAGGCCCTTTGTAGATACTGCTGTCCCTGCCCCTTCCTGATCCGACAAGGGCTTCCCCATGCTGTCCTGCCCAGCCCAGTATACCTCATGGATGCGGCCTGGGCCGTGCTGAGGCCAGGCACCTGCTACATAAGTCCTTTGTGGCCTTATAAGGTACTGATTTTCAGTGTCCCCTGAAGATAGATGGGAGTTCCTGTCCACGGACGTTCAGTCTCCATTTAAGCAGGGCCCCACACAGGCAGCAGGTGCCTCAGCAGAAACATGGTCTTGGGGGCTGGGGTTAGGGTTAAATCCCACTCACAGCTCACAAGCATGACAGCCTCAGGCACAGGACTTACACACTCTGAAATACCAGGCCCTGAGGTAAGAAAGGGACAAGAGCCCCGTACATAGTGAGGTGCTGGGAAACACCCTGTGGTCCCATGAGCACCACCACACGGTGGGGACTCATGCAGGGAGACGTGAGGGCCACGCAGCAGGACACCAGGGCTGCGTGCCTGGAGGCCAGAGATGGCTTCTCCGAGGAGTCGCATTCACCTTAGATGAACAAACAGAAGAGGGCTCCCAGCAATGGGAACCGCATGTGCAAAGGCCCTGGGGTGGGAATGCACCCAGCACGTTAGAAGGAGAGAGGGAGGACGGTGAGGCTGGAGCATGGAGGCAGCAGTGGTGGCATGGCAGCGCTGGAGAGCCAGCAGAGGTCAGCTGTGCAGGGCAGGGTGCATGGGAGAGTCTCGGCTCTGTTTCAGGTGAAGGGTGCAATCAGAGGAATGACCAGACCCGATTTGCTTTTAAAGAAATTATTCTGGAGCACAGGGCAAGACAGATCAGGGAGCTACGCAGAGGCTGCCAGGCAAGTGCAGGTGGGAGGGGAGGGGAGAGTGGCCCCAACGACAGCCGTGGATGAGTGAGAGAGGACAGATGGTGCGGGGGCTGGGGTCAGGGGTGGGGCAGAGAGGACATGAAGATGACACCTAAGGCTTTAATCTAGGCCAGGTGGACTGTTACACCCCTGGCCAGGAGGAGGAGGACCAGGGAAGCAGGGGGTGGGCGAGAGTGGGTGTCACGTTAGGCATGAGGTGCCGGTCCTTTGTGTGTGGAATTCAGGGGGGCAGGAGCCAGCGCTGTGAGATGGGACAAGACCCAGGACTGGGGTGGGCGTGGGGAAGCAAGAGGGGGATGCAGCGCCCAGGCCTCACGCCGGTGTGTGCCACCACCACTGTCACAGCTTGACCTACGATGGGGCCACCCTGCCACCCCACTCAGAGGAAGCGGCAGGCGGGATGGGCAAGTCAGGAGACCACAGGCCAGTGTGGCAAAGAACCAGAGTGAGACCGCCCACCTTCTCCTGGACCCTCCCTCTCTGGAAGCTCCCCCGAATGTGATGCTTTTCACGAGGCACCCAGGACTCCTGCCCACCATCATCCTGTCAGGCTCTGCAGAAACTCCCACCAGTCCCCACAGCTCCAGCCCCAGCCACCGGCAACAAAGGGGAGGCCTCCCTTTACCTCGCCGTCGGCTCTGCCAATTGGGGAGTCCAGGAAAAAGTCCGGAGGAGCAATCACGTCTACCAGGGCGACTGCATCATCTTTCAGCTGTTGGAAAACAAAGTCCATGCACTTGGCAACTGCCAGAAATTTCCATGGTGACCACTGAGCAACAGAGCCCCGGCCCAAGGGTTGCTGTGACCCACTAGCAACTGGTAGCCCGAGCAGGCACACACCACGCTGTTACGAGTGTGCTATCTTTTCCCTGGCTGGGTCGCAGGTTCCTTTGGTGTGTATTTGAATACTTTCACCATGTTGTATTCACTCAATACTTCTGATGTCCGTGTTTTTCTCAACAAAGTAGGGACTGCTCATAAAGGTGGGCGCCCCACAGCTCATTAATCAGCAGCTGTCTTCAGAGGTTTGTCACTAGTCCCTGACTGATCTGGGCAACCGCTGTTCCCACATAGGAAAATATGTCCAGAAAACGTGTCATAAAGCACTTATGAGCACCTGGGAAAGTCATAATACTACGAAGGCTGTTCAGTTGGTAGGAGTTTTATTACTCTTCCATTCCATTATACAAATTATTATTCAATATGACAACAAGATTTATAGAAGGAGGCTCCCCCAAACTTTCTTGAAATGCAAATTTTTTCTTAAATTAACTATTATTGGATGCGCGCTGTACTGCACAGAATGCTGAAGTGGGAATGTGATACTATGACACGTACACTTTGCTTTTCATCCACCGTTCCCAGCTTCTTCTAACCTTCCCCTTGCTGTCTGTCTTGGACCTGGCCATAAAGAAATTCTCTGACCCATCTTAACTGACTGTAGGTCATAAGACCCTCATCCCAGAAAGGGTCCTGCCGCATGCACAGGTGGAAGAAATGCTGCACACAGAGCCCGGGAAGAACCCGAGCAGACAGGCCTCGCTGGGCTTCCCCACCCAGGCTGCCAGGCTGTTAGGGTTAGGTCAGACCCTTTTTGTCCAAGCACACGTCCACACGGCTGTCCATGCTTGAATCATGCCTGCGTCATGAAGCTTCCATAAAAACCCGAGAGCACAGGGTTCAGCAATAGCTGAACACCTGGAGGTTCCTGGAGGGTGGTGCACCTGGGGAGGGCCTGGAAGCTCCACGCCCCTTCCCTTATACCTCACCCCGTGCATCTCTTCACCTGTATCCTTTGTAATAAACCAGCAAATGTAAGTATTTCCCTGAGTTCTGTGAGCTGCTCAGCAAATTAATTGAACTCAAGGAGGGGGCTGTGGGAACCCTGATTTGCAGGCAGTTGGTCAGCACGGGTAAAACAACCTGGGGCTCGCCACTGGCTTCACAAGTAGGAGGGACAGTCTTGGGGTCTGATCCCTCAACTGGTGGGATCTGACGCTGTCTCTAGGTAGACAGTGTCGGAATTGAATTGGAGGGCACCAGCTAGTCTCCGTGGGAGAACTGCTGGCTTGCTTGCCACTGGGGAGAAATTCCCACACATCTGGTCACAGAAGTCAGAGGTCTGTCGGCAAAGGCTTTCTGTAGAGGGCCAGGCAGTACATGCTTTCGGCGTTGCAGGCCGTGGTCTCTGGCAACCACTCATTCTGCTGTGGACGCATGAAAACATACATGTATAACACTCAAGTGGACAGCGGGATCTGGCTGAGGTTGTTACCCGAGTCCAGAGGAGGCAGTGGCGCCTCTCCACCTGGTGACCAGGTCTCCCTAGAGATAAGGAAGACTGGGATCTGGCAGGTGGCAAGTGAAGACGCACTGTGCATGGGCACACACGGAGTAGCACTCGATGCCTGCCTGCCCTAGCCGCAGCACCAGCCCCACGGCACCGAAGGGCACTGCCCCGGCGGGCATTTGAGAGCAGGGAAGCAGCTGATGCATTTTCTACAGAGGGCAACGCACCACCAGGGAAGGCGCACGGGAAGCCCCTGCCTGTCCCGGGTTTTACCATGAAGTGAACTTAAACTGGAGGCTGAGTAACCCGAAATGCCTGAGACAAAAATTACCGACGCAGCTGTAGAAAGTGCCTGAGTGGCTTTGCTGAACATGCACAGATTGCAAGGCAGCCCCTAAAAGGCGCTGTGCTGACATCTCCGACACATGCCTCTTTTCTTGTCATTTTCCTGTTTTTCCTAAATGCTGATGCTCACGAACGTGTGGGAAGCGAAGGTGGCACGTATGGGCATGTGGGAGACTGTAACAGAGACTGTATGACAGCAGAATGGTGATCCCACTCACCTGTGAACACAGGGCCAGGATGGCGCTCTCCAGCAGTTTACCTGCCTGCTCCCCAGAGAAGTAGCCACCTGTAAGGACAGCCCTGGTTAAACTGGGTCTGCATCCTCAGTTTAGAAACACCCCCAAACAGCAACATATCCTGAAAACAGCTTTCTAAATCAGTCCTACAGGAGGCTTAACTCGTGAAAATGTCAGCATGTCCTTACTACTGCCCCCAGCCCAGCTACGACCCCTGAAAGGAGCATGCTGGCTTGGGGCCAGGGTCTGAGACTTTTTCCCACTCAGTTCACTGGGCAGCTCATAGGCCAGGGGCTGGAAACCAGGACTCGGGCCTGGCCTCGAGGCAGCGAGGGAGGCCAAGCTCTGAGGGCTGTGAGGAGGGATGGGCTTCAGGACTTAGGGAGACCCGGCAGGGCTGGGGAGAAAGGGTTTCCAGGCAGAGCAAAGCACATGGCACTTGGGACCATCACAGGTGAGGGTGGGGCTGGGGGCCAAGCAGGTCCACAGCACAGAGCTGTGGCATGTGGGGCACTTGGGGCCCTCTAGAGCAACCGGGGGCTGGGTGGGAGACACACCCTTCAGTGTCACCACCAGCCTCCATGGCTTTCCTCGGGGGTCTTCAGAGGTCCAGGATGATGGCCTTTTGCATGCAGGGATGCATTTGTGGCAAAACCTACCTTTGTGATGGTTTTCACTGAAAAAAACTAGCCACTTACACTTTTTCTCAGACAGCCAGTCAACTCCTGCCCTCCTCCCGCCCGCCCCCGTCTGCCTGGACACTCTCGTGTCTTCCTGTGTTAACCTGTGGACTCTCGAGTGTGACCCCGTGGGGGCAACACCACCCACAAGGGAACAAAAGTTGGTTCTTGGGTGGATCTCACTCTTCACAAGCCCAGACATACACACAGTATATGGATGGATACACAGTATACCGGCAGCAGTAAAATTTCATGGAGGGTGAGGAGTGGATTAAGAAAAACATTTTAAAAGTCTGCTGGTGGGGGGAGGGTAGCGATAATGAAAAAAAGGTTGAGAGACACTGGTTACCACATTCCCACCAATCTTCCAGGAATCAGCCCAGCACCTGCTCCTCCAGGAAGCCTTCCAAGGTTCCCAGTCTGGGCATTTCTGGGGTACAGCCCTAGCAGTCCGGGCTTATGTCTGTCTCTGCCCCATGGAGCCCAGAGGTGTGGGCTCAGCTCTCTGCAGAGCCCAGCACACTGCCTGGCAAGAGTGGACCTTTGGGAAGTCTCTGACCTGAACTGGAAACTGACTTCACAGAGACCCCGAATGAAGGGAAACCACATCTGTGCAGTGCACCCCAGTGCTCCTCTGCCCTCTGCCCCGTGCTTGTGCTGTGGAGCTGGGCTCTTGTTCATCACAGCTGCCCTCGCTGTGTTACATGCTCAGTAAGTCCCCGGGAGTGAAGCCACACAGTGCACACCAGAGCTGCAGAGATACAGCAAGAGGCCCCGACTGCTGGGGAGGGCAGAGAGCCTCACCTCGGTAGAGCACGGCTGCGTGCCGGCTGAGGGACCACAGGGCGTACAGGGCACTGAGCCGCCCGAGCACGGCCCGCAGCGAGGGCGGAACGCTGGGGTGGTGTACATGCTGGTGGAACCTCTGCACCGCGGTGAGCTCAATGAACACCAGAGCCAGGGACCGGCAATGGTACACCTAGAAAACAAAGCACAGGACCACCGCTGACCAGAAGGCAGAGGAGTCTTAGCCATGACTCAGATCTTGCAGTGGAAGACATTATGATGAAATACGAAGCAAGGTCTGTGTTCCAGCACACGTCCTGGGAGCACAGTGAAGAGAAGTGGAGCCAAGTCCAGACAGAAAGCATCCCTAAAACACAAAGGCAAGGCCTGCAAAGGAAAGATAAACCCGGGCTGCAGTAGGCCTCGGCATCACACAATTCCAGGCCCCAGGAAACCCCATGGCCGCTCTCGGCTCAGTGCTGTCTGGAATGCAGGGTTGTACTGGCATCAAATGCCCTGGGACCTGGGGCTGCAGTGTGTGGGCATCCACCAGGAGGTGGGTCCCAGAAGACCTATGCTCCCCTGCACCTGGGAGGAAGGCCCAAGGAACAGAAGGTGCTTGGTGAGCTCCTTATGGGAACTTGGTTGATTGGTTTCCACTTCTCAAGTGGCCTGGAAAGGCCTGGAAAGGCAGCCCTATGTATAACCTTGCTGCTGGCACAAAATGCATCCTGAGACCCACTGGATGCGGTAGCTAACAACCTGGCCCTGGAGGCCAGTAGAGCCAGCTTCCAGATCCACTTGGCTCTGATGAGTTGTGCATTGCGGGCAGCCAGCTTCATGTCCCCAAGCCCTAGTGCCTTCTTCTGTTAAGTGGGAACCTCCCAGCATTGCTGAGGGCCAGGACAAATCTCTTGTGGGAAGCACCCGTGACAGTGGCTCTGCTATGCTCCACTGTACCTCAGTCCCCAAGAGTCGGCATACATGATGCTGTTTTGTGTGCTTCTGGGAAACGTCCAGAAAAGACCAGTCACCTGGGGGATACAGGCTCTGGGACAGACCCCCTGAACGATGTAGTCCTTGCAATCAGCGGATCTGATGACAATATTCAAGGTGGGCTGGGGCCCATGAAATGCCCCGCATAGTGCTGACTCTGGGGGTAGGGGAGGGGGGACAGTAGCACCTCAAATGTGGTCCTATCCCCATGGTCAAAGCTTCCCCACTGGTGCACTTGAGCTGAGAGTGCTCATGGCACCTACAGACCAGTGTGGGAGCCCCGAAGTCCCCAGAAGTTGCCCCAGTTATGGACATGACAGTGGGTTAGGGTTCTGCTCCAGGGCAATCTCTTGGGACAGTCTCAGCTGCCTGCCCCTCCAGGCTACTTAACTGTCCCCAGTTAGGACTGGAATGAGGCCCTTCCAGCACTGCATATAGCTGAGGATCAGCTGTCACTTTACACAGTAAGCCTGGGAACGCAACAGAAGAGAGCACACCCTAGGAGTCACAGCTGGCTGGTGGGGCCAAGTCAGGAGGGGATGGCCCCAACTCCCAGCCTCCCCTCTCTAAACACTGGCCCCCAAGGCCAGACTTCCCTCTCCCATGACCTCTGCCCCAGGAAAGGAGGTGAGAAGCCAGTGCCTGGTGCACTCTAATTTCTGAGAATATTTACATTTTAACAGGTAAGGGATACTCGAGGCAAAAGATGAACCCCAAATTGTCCAAGTCCAGACAGCAGTCATGCACTACAGGGGAAGAGGCAGGGCTCCGGGTCCAATCCTGGCCTGGCATAGCTGAGCCGGGAGACCTGGGGGAAAGCATTTCTGTTGGCCTCGATTTCCCTAACTCCCAAAGACAGGATGTGAAATGACACATGTATAGAGCCTAGCGCGTGGCTAGAGAAAGAAAAAACATCCTTATCTGCCTTTTGATACACAAAAATCTCTGGAGGAATCCAAGGAACCGGAAATGGGGTTGGTCCCAGGGAGGGGCAGGGGTAGGAACTGCAAGGCTGGAGGCAGGGGTGGGAGCTGCCACCACCCACCTCTTTATATTTACTGGTTTTTGAACACGTGAAGGTGTCACCCAGCTGAAAAACTACAGAAACGCATTTTTTTTTAAAGCACCCACTATGTGTGTCTGGCTTATAGTAGGTAAACAATAAATGGCACTTATTACCAGCAGGAGTGAGTAGATAAAAAAAACAAGTTAGCAGGGCCAGCCCATGGCTCACTTGGAAGAGTGTGGTGCTGATAACACCAAGGCCACGGGTTTGGATCCCTGTATAGGGCTGGATGGTTGGCTCATTTGGGAGAGCCTGGTGCTGACAATACCAAGCCAAGGGTTAAAATCCCCTTACTGGTCATCTTAAAAAAAAAAAAAAAAAAAAAAGTTAACAAATTCCTCTGACTATGTCAAAGAGTCAGCACACTTTAACAAAAACGGCCAGTAACGTCCCCAAAAAGACACAGCTGTTCACACCCTCCACTGACAGAACTGCCCACCCCAGCTGATGCTTGTCCACATGGCTTCATCCCGGTTGTCCTGGGCCCCTGGTTCTGGGTCAGTGGCCGCCCAGCTAGCTCAGGCCAGGCTGATCATCCATGTGTAGGAAGCAACTCCTGCCTGCTGGGATGCTCTCTGTACGTTACATGCTGCATGGGCTTCCAGCCTGCTGTTGTCTTCTGATTTTGTTTACAGCATCTTTTGCTAGTCAGAAGTGTAGAACTTTTATGCAGTCAAATCAGATGGTTTTCTTTTCTTTTAAAGCTTCTGAGTTTCCTATCTTACTTAAGAAGGCTGGTCCTAAGCAGATGTCACACAAACACTCTCTGAGGTTTTCTTCACATGCCATGTTGCTGTTAGATCACCACGTGGGAAGGATCGCGCCTTCCTCAGGCCCCCTTGCTGTCCGTCGAGCCAGGGCCGCGAGAGAGCCCTGGGCTGTTGAAAACACCCCTGCAATGCTGAGCAGGCCTGGAACATGAAGCCCCCTCCAGTCATAACCTTTCCTTGAGGCCTCATGGCTGCCCTCCGTCCAGGTCCCATGCTCAGGTAGCTGTGCCTCAGCCTGTGTCTGTCAGCTCCACAGCTGGACCCAGAACCTAGGGCTGCTCCTGTCCTCCTCTGCCACGGCACTCACTGAAATGCTGTGACCGAGTTCTTCAAGGCAGATCTAAAGGCGAATCATTGCTCAGACGACTGAGCTACACACTCAGGTGCTGTGAGGTCACATGCAGGTGCCCGGCATGGACCAGGGCTGGAGGGGCGCTGAAGGACAGCAGGAGGATCTACAGGGGCCTGGAGGGCAGTTCTAGGGATTTGGAAGTTGCTGGGAATGGGCCCTCCTGTGCCCACCATCGCCATGGGGGTCTTGCTTTGTCACTCAGGTGAGCCCACCTATCTCCAATTTAGAGTGACGAGTTGACAAGCAGAGGAGGAAGTACTGGCAGCTAATGGGCACCCATTAGTTTCCAAATAACCAAACCTGCGGCATTCCAGGCCAAGGTGGGTGCAGAAAGCAGCCCATGCCAGAAGGGTCACTTCAAGCTTCCTATTTTTGGTTACTGTAGCCCTGAGCTAAAAGTTTTACTAAACTTCGCAATCTGCCAAATTCATCTCTTTTAAGCCATAATCCAATCCTGGTTCATTCAAGCTCTGCAGGAGCCTCTGAAAGCAGCGGCATGTCCTTCTTTCCTCATCCCCTCCTCCGGGGCAGGCGTGTCCAGCAGGTTCCCAGAGACACCAGCTTGAGCCCCCAGCAGCAGCCAGTGTGGGGTCTGGAGCCTTCCAGGAGATGGGCAGACATGGGCCCGGGTTGTCAGGGGTGGCTTTGTTACTGAATATGACACAGATCTCACTCACCAATGCAGAGGAGAAAGACCAGCACCAGCCCTGAAGCTTCCCCACACTTCCTCCCCTGCATCCTCGCTGACTCCCGTCCCTACAGACACGTGGAACAGAACTGGATGCATGGCACAATCAGAGCCCTGACAAAACGAGTGTTTTTTAATGGGGTGCTTTTGCACTGTGGATTCTCAGGACACGAGACAGCCCTGTCCAAGTGTGAGAACCAAGGCACTTTCCAAAGCCAAGTATAAGCTACGCTTGGCCCATTTGCACCAAGGCCCCTTGGTGAGGGCGCTAAGACCTGAGGAAAACCAAACGCAGAGTGACAGTGTGGCCTCACATGAGTCACTGCCTTGCCATGCAGTGGTCAGTGGGGAGCTTTCTAGTCCCCACACTGGTGTCCTGGCCACACTACATTTCCAAAGCTCTCACAACCCATTGTCCCAACTCGAATGATCACAGCTCTGGTTTATGGACCAGATACCGCCAGGCATGGTAAATACAATATCCTCAACTTATTCCACAGCCTGCCAAGGTAGGTGTCGCCATCCCTGTTTTATGGAGGAGCAAACCAAGGGGCAAAGGGGTCGAGCAATCTGCCCAAGGTCATGGGAGCTAGAGCGTAGGGGCCTGCATCCACTAGGATGTCCAACCTCCTGAGAACACAGCAGAAGCGGAATTAGAAGCAAATAACACAAAAAGCCATGTTTAAAACAAATGCATACCTGGCAGTCATTCCTTGCTTGAAAGTCATTGCTTCCTGATCTTTTCTCTTGAGTTAATTTTTGGTAACTCTCTCGGAGCAGGTAACACACCAACCACCTGTACGCTGCCAGGGGGACTTCAGCGTGAGAAAGAGAACGAAAAGAGAGTAACAATGGAGCACCTGACATTGCCACAAACTTACCTGGGACAGACAGCACTGCAAGTAGACTGCCTGACAAGTGAGTGTGTGAGGTGGGTCCGTCCAGCTTCACAGTTAGGGAAACTGAGGCATGAGGAGGGATGGTGGCAAGGCAGGGTGGGCACGGGTGATGGCGTTTCCTGGAGGGGCTGTGAGGCCGTCCCGAACTCCACGCTGTTCTTGCAGTCACAGAGCCACCAATGGAGCCAGCACCTCTATCTACGAGCTACACATTCCTGCTCCTGCTCTCGCTTAGTCTATGTAGAACAAGGGTGTCGCTCCCCCACTGTCACCAAAGGTTTGCATGGGCATCACGACAACCGCCGAGCAGACGGCAGCCAAGTGGCGAGAGGAAGGAGGACTTATGCTCACTTCTTGGGCCAGGCCTCGGACCTCACGGCCTGCTGTTGAGCTGTGGAGCTGGGAGTGAACACCGGTGTCCCAGGCCTCGCCCCACACCTCTGCTCCCCACAGGTTCTAAAGGTCAGGAGGGAGAAAAGGCTGCAGACAGGGACAGGCCGCAGCAGGACAGCAGGCAGAGCGGGCAGAAGGGGCTGCAACCTCCTTCCCTCCCCGCTCCCCCAGATGGCGGAGCCCTTCTGTACCTAGCCCTTCCTCGTCACCACACTCAGCCAGAGCTAGCTTCCCAGGCACTCCCTAGGGACTGGGCATGTCCTGAGAAGACCTGCATAGCAGTGCTGCAACCAACCCCCATGAGGACACATGGGCACAGGAGACACCTGGGGCACAAGACGACAGAGTGGAGGTGGGGCCTGGGCCAGCCACGTGCTCCGAGACCACACTTTCACCCACCCGCCACCAGGCACAGAGGGTCCAGCGCTGGACATGAGGGACCTGCAGGTTGCGGGGAGCAGGGAGCTCCTTCTGCTTGGCAGCTACTTGTGGCTCAGAGCTCCAAAGAGGGAAGATCGGGATCTGGCCACACTAGGTCTGGGCCCAAAGACAGTCTTGAGGTTTCCTCCTAAATCACAACGCCCAGTTCTCTGGGAAGAAGACACCACATTTGTGGGCTCCTGTTTCCCGCTGTTATATCCATTAACCCTCACAGCACAATGGAGAAGCCCATTAAAAACCAAACAAAACTGTTTCACAGGCTCAGAGATGTCAAGCAGCTCGCCCAAGGTCACACAGCTACCAGGAAGGAAAGCTGGGATGGAAGTCAGGCTCCCCTGGCTCACCAGGCAGGGATGAAACCCGAAGCTTCCTCTGCACAGCTGTTCTCAGGGAGCCAAGTGAGGCAGGTGGAGGGGACCTGGGATGAGGCCTCCCTGTCACCCCAAGTCCTGCTAGGTATAATGTATTGTATGGTGGCCCCTATAAGATCTGTCCATATTCTTATCCCCAGAACCTGTGAATGTAACCTTATTTGGGAAGAGGTCTTTACGGATGTGATTAACTTAAGGGTATCAAGGTAAGGGCATCCTGGATTAATGTCGGCCCTGGGCCCTAAACCCAATGACAAGTGTCCTTACAAAAGAAAAGGAAAAGACACAGAGGAGAAGGCCATGTGACAACAGAGGCAGACACTGGAGCAATGTGGCCACCAGCCAAGGAGTCACTAGGAGATGGAAGAGGCAGGAACCCTCACCTCGAAGTTCAGGATGGAGCATGGCCCCGTGACGCCTTGATTTTGGATTTCTGCCTCCCAACTGTGAGGGAACACATGTCTGTTGTTTTTAGCACCCCACGTAAGCTACTGTGTTATGGCAGCCCGGGGATGCTGATATCCCAGATGGCCCAGTGGTCATTCTTGAGCCTTAAATGCTGCCCTTCAGGATGTCACCTGAAAAAGCCAGGCCGACTTTTCGAAACCAGTGGTGACAGCAAGGGGCTGTGTGACCACTGCCTATTCTGGGAGTCTCTGCAACTCTGCTGCTTCCTAAACTCTTCCCAGCAGGATCGATCATCATGAACGTAATGAGAGGTGGACGGTGCAGAGAGTCATATTTTCCATGATTTATTTATACAGCAACAAAACCCCAGGAAATAGCCCAGGCCAGAATTGCCTGTGCTAATTCCTTTTAACCACACGGGCTCCTGCAGTCCAACAACACATCAGCACCAGCTCGACTTCCCTCCTGGCCCAAGCAGGGCCGTTCCCAAATACTGTCCTAGGAGGTGTCCCGCTGCTATGGATGCTTCTCAGCAATCTTAACAGAGTTTTCCAAGCTATTTCCACACCCAGATTTAACCCACGATGCTTCATGCCAATGACCAGTTTATATTTTGCTTTGTTTTTCAAATGAGAAACATGCTTGATAAATGAGTTATGATGACACAGCATTTTTCCTTAGAAACTCCACGTTTAGCTATTAATTTCTCATGAGAAAATAGTATCATGTCATTTTGGTGTGTTCACATGGAGGGAAGATTCCCACAAGTATGTGAAAGCACATGTGAGTAACAATGAGAGGTTAGTTTCATGTGTGTAATCTCGAGTTCATTTGAAAGTGAAAAATTACCAATGAAACAATTTGTGTGGGAAAATTGTCACCATCTGATAGTAAATTCTGTTGCGAGAAACGAGGTTGCTAAGGGCCCAAGAAAAAACACACGCTATTTCAACAAATTTACCAAGACTTTGCCGGAATCCTGGGTCTCAAATGGCCCTTTGACGTATCACACCAGAGGATGCCCGGGGGCTCCCTGTCTGCAGCCCATGGTCCTGTGTCTGGCTCTTTCCTGTTCACTCCAGCTGCTGCTGTCACTGCCCTCCTTCACTTCCAGTGCTTCTGCCCTGCCAGGCTTCTGATTCTAGAGGCTTCTGCACACCTCAACTCGACAGATCCAAACCTGAACTCCTGTATCACCAGCACCTCCCACCCATTCAGTTCCCAGGTGGGTGAGCAGCCAGGGGCTCCCTGCACCTCCCCACCACCTTGCCTCCCACACTGGCTCTGCCTGACCTGAGGCTTGCTCTGTGATCTCCAAGTTCAGTCTCCCTCTGCATCGGCCCTCCTAAAGCAGGGCTCCGACTGAGGCACACCCTGGACAGCACAGCCTGAATGACCAACCCCTACTCCTCAGCCAGCACACAGGCCCCAGCTCCACACCCTGCCTACTTCTTCAACCACACACCTCGCCATACTCTGGTGCTCCCCAATGCACCACATGGACCCTCTGAGACGCACCAGGGCAGATCTCACCTGTGTCTCTGGGACCCAAAGGAGTGCTCATGGGGGGACCTCACCACACGGCAGCCAGCCCCACTGAGGTTGCACCATGGGCCAGGCCCCTATTAGGCACAGCACAAGGGTGACGGCATTCCCTCCCCTCTATTGTGCAGAAGGGAGGCTGAGGCTCAGAGAAATTAAAGCATGGCCAAGGGTCATGCTGTTTGGGGGAGGTGCTGACCTAGAAGCCTGAGCTCCCAACCTCTGGGAACACTGTCTGTATGATCCCACATGACCCCCTGACCACACATGGCCCATGTGACCTCATGTCTGCATCTCGTGACCTTGGTGCCCCATGCATACACACATCTGCCCAAGCAATAAACCCTGCAATTACTTAATATTAGTGAGAATGAGCCATCAAAAGAAAAGAACAGCCCTGGCATTATTAAGCAACAGTGCAGACCCTCACGTGCATGGAACCATTTGTGAAACACATCTCCACACACACGTCTCCCCCAAAATCAGAGGAACTAAGTAGAAAGCAACGCCTGCCCCTCCTCTCTCCAAATAAGCATGTTATCCCCTCAAGGATTAGGATCATGGGCTTGATAAAGCTCCTGGCCTCCCAAACAGGCAGGTGCAATCCTGCAATAGGCTGCCTCTCTCCAGTCCTGCAGGATGCGACGGACATAAGTCATTTGTGTAATTTTTACCAAAGATCCAGAAGACAGGGAGGCTATACCATCAGCCCCAAGATCCAGGATGTGGTGACCACGTGCCCTCAAGATGCAGGGGCTGCCAGGCTGTGAGCCCTCCTGTGCATGAACAGTGCCAGTCAGTACTCAGTGCCACGCCACTTTCACCCAGTAAGTGTCACTTGCATGTTGTCCTCCAGAAAATGATTTCACTTTGGTGGATCTTGAGAAATGAGGGCACCCTCAGGAAAACCAGATGGCACTGTCTGAGAGCTCTTCCTGATGCTGGCACATGAGGCTGCTTCTGTACTCGCTGTCTCAGAGAGGGAAGGCAGCAGAGTGTGGGGCTGCACGAAGATGCTGGGGAACACTGGAGTCCTCATTGTGATTTTATGACCAGTAATGATTTTAGGGAAAAGCTGTGGCTGAGTCGAAGTTATTACAATGATCAGGTCATTTTCTAGTACTTTCTGTAGCAATGGTCGGGAAGCTCAGAAATCGATGAGCAACCACCAGACACAGATCTTCAAGTGTGTCCCCAATTCCTAGTCACATTTCAAAAAGGCAGATAGGGAATGGTAAGGTTAGGTGTTGTTAGGAAAACTAACAGCATGGTGACTGAGGAGAAATCCAGCATCTCCTGGGTGGTGGAGGTGATGGAGGAAGGGAGGCCGGGAGCTCAGCCAGCCTGGGTTTGCTCTTGCCTCAGCCACTGCTCCTGTTCTCTGTTGTGGTTTCCTCTCCCATAAAACATGCATGAGGACACAGCTGTAATGAAAGCACACACTCAGAGCAGTGGCTGGTCCTGCAATGGTGACATGGTGCCTGAGGCCCAGAACACACCTTCCCACTTGCTCTTGTGCTCCACGTAAGGAAACCCCGCCCCCCAGCAAATGCTCATGCTCTGGTCTCCTAAATGCAAATCCAGTGCCATCCTCCACCTCCAGTTCTGCTAAATGGCATTCGGTAGGATATAAGGCACATGGAAGGCGATTCCTGTCTAAACCCTAAAGCCACATGATGGCTGTATGTTTAAATAACCAATCATCTGTAGTTACTAAGCACTTGTTTGGTGCCAAGCGCTGGACTGAGTGCTTTATATGCATTAACTCATCCACCTGCACAAAACCTCATGAGATAGATACTATTACTGTCCCCATGCTGCAGACAAGGAAACTGAGGCAGGAGGTGTAAATGACTTGCCCAAAGTCCCACAGCTGCCAGATGGAGAGGCAGGATCAAGTGAAGGTGGCCTGGTGGAAGCCTGATGCCTCACTCCCAGGGAAGGTGGGCTGCTTTTCCATTTCTTGGGTGTCTTGCTGGAACAGTCAGTTTCTTCCTGGGCCACCAGGACACAGGCATCAGGACCATCTCCAGCCTTTCTCATGCATAAACCCACAAGAATAAGTCCTAAGACCTTTGGAAACAGGTGTTTTGCTGGCAAAGTGAAGAATGCTCACTAAATACAAATGAACAAGGTAGTGATGATACTGACTGATGTTTCTCCTGTCCCTTAAAGCTTTGACCACAGAGAGAGCACGACGGCTGTGGGAGGAGGGCATCTCCTTTAGAAGCTGTTAAAGCCAGGGTGGGCATGGAGGTGGAGCGGCAGCTCCAACCCTGCTCTTGGTCACGTCTCATCCAATTCCTTCCCAGGATGTGTAGGGAGTTGTAATGGAAGGTCCTGGGCTTTGCAGTCCGACAGGCTCGGGTCTGAATCTTGGCCCAGCGGTTAGCCCCTAGATCTCCCTGGGCCTGAGCGCCCAGAGCCTGCAGTGACTTAGAGCACACGGGAGGCAGCCCCTCACGGCAGCTCCTCCCCTGGCCCCCAGTCACTCGGCCTCCCAATCACGTCCCATCTGTCCCCTCTCCATCCACTGCTACCATCCTGTCCCAGCCACCATCTCTCATCTTGAACTATTTCCCACTGAGCAGCCAGAATAGCCGTTTTTCTTCCAGAGTAACATTTTAAAAACATGACTCATCAGAACACGGCGCAAATGCAGATCAGGGCAGCTGCTCTCTGCTTATCATCCAGCAGCTTTGTGTGGCACTGGAACGAAATCCAAGCTCTTGCCAGAGCTCAGGCTCTCACCCGGCCTGGCTGCCTCCTCCTGAACACCCTTTCCTCAGCCTCCCCATGGCTACCCCGTTCCTTCCACTGAGACCTCAGCTGAAAGGCCACTTCCAGAGAAAGGGAGGCTGTCCCTGGCCAGTCAAGGCCCCCCTAAGGTGGCCCCTGGCCACACTCCACGACACCAGGCTGGGCTCCTTCTCTGCAGAGTCCTGCTCCCCTACAACGCAGGTCCATGATGTACTTGTGTGTTCCTCATGTCTCCCCTCTAGGGTGTACCACAGGCACCTGGGTCTGTCCCCGCTGCCTCCTCAGCACATAGCACTGCAGACTGAGAGCTTATGAGCATTTGGGGAGTTAACAAGTCAACAACCTGAGAGCAATGACTCTCTGTAGAAAGAACCCGAGGCCCAAGACCAAGGATAGTGTGCAAAAAAGCAGGCTTTGCTTTCGATGCTGCTGCCCGAGCCAGCCTCCCACCCCACCTCCCCGAGGACAGAGCTTGTGTCCGCGGCCCCCTGGCATGCACCACAGGAGCTTCTCTGAAGGCCAGCTCTGTGCTGGGTCCTGGGACGTGGGTCCCAAACAGATAATCATACCAAAGGGAGATGAGCATGGAGACCAGGGTGTGGACCACAGCTGAGCCTGGGCCACAGCGGCTGAGAGGAGGCTGTATGGGAGGGCGTGGAGGGGGGGATGTAACCTAATTGTGAAGTTTGAAGAGTGGGCAGGGGGCGTGGCAAGTTTTCCACTGTAAGGGCCCCACACCAGGGAGGTTTCAGGATAGGGAGTGAGCACCTGCTACCTCAGCTCTGGAGCCAGGCACAGAGAGGTGGTTGCAGAACGAGTAGCACATGGATGTGCAAACAGACAAGCTGCACTCAGGGGCCTCCACTGCCACAGTCACCCCAGCTGTAACCCACAAAGCCCCGCCCCATGGCACAGTACATTTCCTGGTGGTAGTGACGAGAAAGTGAAAAAGCCTGGGAGACCCTCTGCCTTCGCGACCAAGAGGAGGGTGTATTTACCTGCAGAGTCCAAGCAGTCTGCAACACTGGAGCCCACGAACCTCTGGCCGAGGATGTCAGGATAGGCTTCCAGAAAGTCCACAGTCTTCAGGGGGCTTTCAAAGCGCGCTCCATCTAGGACGCACGTTCCAGTGACTTTGGAGACATATAGGGGAACCCCAAACCAAGGAGGGTCCCAGAGGACAGGGCCAGCCCGCAAGCTGGGGTCTGTCTTTGCACACCACCCCCCCACCTTAGCCCATTCCTGGAAGTTAGTCAGTCACTATCTCATAACATTTTTCCCTTCCTGCAAACATAGGGTACATCCTAATGGAAGAGTGAAATCAGTGGGGGACAAGAAAATCCACTCACCCTAGCTGAGTCTAGGGGCTGCTCGCTGAGCATGCAGAGGGAGCCTCACCTTGGACCCGGCGTGCCAGGAGGCCCAGCAAATAGTTGCTGGTCTGCTGCAGCAGAACATTGTTGTCACCTTCGTATGTGCAGTTTGGATCGTTGTCATTTCTGAGGTCACCCAACCGGTTCACTGCAATGAAGCCACAGCATCATCACCATTAAAGATGCGTATTTGAGAAATACCCCACCTCTACGTGAGAGGTTAGAGTCCCATGACCAGAGATGAAGCACGTACAAAAGAAAAATGGGAGATGTCTTCAGACACTTGAAATTTCTTTGTAAAAAGAACTTGTTAAGTTGCAGAAGGAAGGAGGGCAGCCCCTGAAGCATCAGCTCCCCTGGAAACCTCCCCATCTCTGTCAGGGACCCGAGGAGTCCCAACGCCACCCCTTCACTAGCACGGTGCCCTCTTAACTCTACATCCCAGTTTTCCCATCTCTGACATAAGAATATCACAGGGACCACCGCGAGTTGTGGGCAAGGTAAACAGGAGGCTCCCCGAGACCCTCGGCCCTGCACCGGCCCAGCAGTGAGCGCTCAGGAAACATTCCTGCCACCCCTCCTCACTGTCACCATCACGCCCTGCAGGGTTGTCTGGCACAGCCTCCCCGAGTGTGGGGTCCCTGACAGAGATGGGCAGGTTTCCAGGGGAGTCTACGGCCTCAGGTCTGCCGCTCCTCCTTCTGCAGCTTAATGAGCTCTTTTTACACAAGAAATTTCAAGTATCTGGGGATAACTCCCGTTTTTCTTTTGTCACTCTTACCAATTAAATAACCCAATTCCTTCATATATTTTATGTGAAGCTTTGTGGACCCTCAACCACTCGGATCTTCCTCCTCTGAGGGAAAATGCTCTCTGAATGTACAGCTGGGGCGATAGGGGCCTGCAGGGAAGCAGGGGCATGTCCACATGCACGTGCTGCTGCCCACGGAGACCGAGAGGGTGGAAGACGCCCTGCCGCGGCCACACTGCCAGTGGCCTGTGATCACCTCGAACCTGGTCACTTCCCCCAACGTGCTGCCAAATCACATCGCCCCCATGCCGTAATTAAACCATTGAACGTGAAGAGCTGGGAGAGGCCTTAGAAGAAAAATCTTCAATTGATATTTTAAACCTAGGTAAAGGCCTTTACTTTTTTTTTTTTATTTGCAGCTGGCTCGTACAGGGATCCAAACCCTTGACCTTGCTGTTACAAGACTGTGCTCTAACCAGCGGCGCTAACCGTCCAGCCAAGGCCTTTACATCTTTCCCTGCTGACTTCAGTCTTAATCTCAGCCCAACGTCTGTACACACAGTGAATCCTGACTCAGTCATTTCTGCTGTCTGCAGTGCTGCAAGATTCAATTTCCTTGTTCCACTTAAAGCAGGAACAAAGCTAAACTACGTACAGCGTCTCCATGGGGTATAACAACACATACAAACTACCAAGAGCACCACAGTGAGGACAAACCATGTAAGAGTAACGTATGTACAGCCATGCTACCCACATGTCAGTAAGCAACAAAGAAACAGTGTGGAGGGGGATGAGCAGGGTGTACACGCCACTCACCCCATGCCGGCGCAGGCACATGCCAGAACAGCTTCTGGGACAGATGGTCACCAACAGCACACAACTATCTAGAGACTGTCACCAGAATGTTCACAAACCCGGTGAAAGGCTCTTGTAAGTCAGTAAAGTTTTTGCCAATTCTTGTGGCTGTTTTGAGTGTGTATATGGCCTTCTCACAACAGCCAGTTTTTTTTTTTTTTTTTTTTTTTTTTTGTCCTTTTTTCCGTGTCCGGCAACGGATCGCAACCCTCAGTGTTGCCCCCGTACCGGACCGGGACCGGCAACGGGATCGCAAGCCTCGGCGTTGCTCCCGCGCCTCGCTCAGCCAGTGAGCGGGAACCGGTCTGCATATGGGATCCGAACCCTCGGGCGGGAGCGCCACCGCGCTTCCCAAGCGGCGCA